ATCTAAACTGATTTCGGCTCTACCGATATCTAAGCCAAATCTTAAATGTAAACACAGTTATAACTTTCATTATATTACTTATGGATAAAAAAGCTTTTTCTCTTTATAAGAACAAGCCCGTACTTAAAATCCCGTAAAATTTTTGGCTACGATGAATTTCCGGATTCCCGCCACCCATATATCGCCCATCTCTAAGTTCCGAGAGACAACATTTTTCCCCCAAGTTTCCTTGCCGTGCGGCGTGCTTTCCTCAGAAATACGTGCCAAAAAACAGCCGAAAACTGGTCGTTATATTCGTTTAATTAGATCAAACAGCAGCGAGTTCTTCGACTTTCGGAGAGTGATACGAAAAAGTGCAACTAAGCATCGTGTTGCATGGGAGTTGCCGATCCGGCCGCCGGCCTTCGCTGGCGGCGTTATCAATGGGGGATTAACTTCCATGAGGATTCCTAAAAATGTAAGTACTAAGTACGGAAGTAAGCTGCTTAGAGCGGATTTAAATCGAACCGCTCCACGCCAATTATTTGGCTTACTTCCTGAAAATTCTCAAGTACGCCCTGCTCTTCAGGAGACAAAGTGAAGTGTCCTTATTCTCGAGGGTTCCAGTACCAGAGCCTTTTTGCGAAATGATGCGAGGATGACAGGGATGGACTAAGTGACGGTGCTAAAGTGACGTATGAAATGAAGCGCAAAAACAAAGGGTGCACAGTACACAGCAACAACAATGACAAGCGGAGCCAAGGGCTGGGCGCCCACATATATTCACATTTTCAGTGCAGGAACGCGGGATGGCATGCAAATTAATTCGCTTAACCGAGCTTTTAAAGCGCCCCTTATTATATTCCGTTGTTTTTGTTTCGTTCTCTCCATTACCCTTTCTGCATTGTTGGCATTTCTTTTGCATTTTTTGCTCGCATTCATGAAATTTAAAGCCCACGGCGTGCTCTCTCTCGCTCTCGCTCCTTTGTCCGTCTCCCTCTGCTTCCTCCATTTCTGTTTTGGTGCCGTCTCGCAAACAGCTGATGCTTCCGCAACGTGCATTCTCTCTCTATCTCCCTCTCCTTCTGTCTGTATAGTTTTAAATTCCTTTCAAAATTCTTGTCAAGGGTTCGAGTCTGCGCTTAGGTGTATACCGCCCACATTCCGCTTTCTATTATTTTTCAAAAGATAACGGAATGGTCTACCTTTTCCATTCCACTCCTTTTTAGGATGAATTAAAAATTGTTTTTCCGGGGGGCTACAGAAACCACAAGGGTTTTAGAATCGCTTATAAATGTATCTAAAAGCTGGCAGGTATAACATAAATAATTGAAATTGCGAGCTCAAAACATTTTTGTTTATTTATTTGACAAACAGAATAAATCTTTAACTGGATAAATTAAACTACTTTGAAAAACTAAATATAAATACAAAAGAATCCGTTTAATAATAAACTGGTCCGTAAACATATTTTTGGTCTCAATTGATTTCCTTTTAATGCTAACTTTGTTAACTAGATCTGCATTTTTAGAAACTATTAATTTTTACCATTTTGTAATATTAGTTCATCCAAGTTGTTCTAAAACTATTAATTTAGTTCAAGGACTCTGGTCATTTATTCTGATTCCAGAATCAGTTTTAAATTGATTCTCAAACATATTTTTAAACTCAACTGGTTTTTCTTTAATTTTGAATATTTTTAAACTTTAAAAAACTTTAAATATGTACAATTTTTTAATAATAGTTCAGTCAAGTTGTTCTGAAACTATTAAATTAGTTCAAGGACCGTAGTCATTTAGGCTTATTCCACTTGCTCACAACTTTTACGTGTTCAACAAAATGTAGTTTTTCAAGTTTTAGGACCTTGACCGATTTGTGTCATCGAACAAAAAAAAAATTGCATCGGAACTGCCATGCGCACAATACCTGCAAATAATGACATATCTGTGTCGATAATTAAATCAGGCTAGCCCAGCCACCGGCAATGATTTCATATTAAGGTAAAAGGGCCTGCTAATGGTGTAAAATAAATTTCAATTAGTCCTCTGCTTGTTTTCCTTTGTAATTCAGATTCGGTTACATGCTCAAAGGGAGAGTTACTTTTCAAAAATCGGATAAATGGCTCCTTGCAAAAACAAAGTGGGCAATTTGTTGCGTTAATGAACACAGGAAACTCTGCCAGCTTAATCGCATTTTTTTCAACCCAAAAACGGCCATTAAGATAAATTTCCCTGGCGACCATGCCAAGTAAATAAAAGTAAATCAATTAGTACACTGTTTATTTTCATTTGCAATTTAAGTTCGGTTGTAACGACTAAATGGCCATTATTTTTCAAACGGGGACTAGTTTGCTTATTTTTTAAAACACCCCAATTTATAAACACAATTTGTTTGTTGCAAAAAGTTATTGCTTCTTCTACAATTTAATATGTTGCTTAGATCTTTAAATTTTGTAAGGACGTTAAACTTATTTCTATTGTGGATGGGAAAACATAAGACTACGTTTTTGTTAAGGGGCAAAGTTTGCAAAGCTCTTTAAGCATTCATTTGAAAATTATGATTTAAGTAATTAAGGTAAGGCCATATCGTCTACTTCGCCATTACAATTTGGAAACCCCCAAAAAGTTTAAAAGCCTTTAAGGAAACTTAGTAAATACGTCGCTAAGGCTTTGAATGCCATCTGCTGGCCCAATACCATTGGGCCGACAAATTTTCAGAAGTTAATCGTACGGATGTATAAATTTCCATCCCCACCATTTATTTCGCATAACTTAAAGTTGAACTTATTCCTCTGTTTAAAAGCCTGTAAGTTGTTTGTTTCTTTGTTGCGCGCTTTCAAGAATTCAATTAAAAGAACAACACTTAGGAGAATATTAAATTATGATGCGGACAAAAGCAGAACTTTCCCCCATGTTGCAAGCAAGTAGGCAAAGAAATTGTTCCTAGCGATAATATTTAATCTACCAGAATCAATTCTTGGCAGCTGCTCTGCTGCTAGCGGGAATAATTGTCATTAGAACTCTCATTATGTAAAATTGTTTACAAAAATAACCAAATGTGTGCTAGAAATTGAATTTGTCATTCTGGCTTGCTTTTAAAACGTACAGCAATGGCTCTTTTTATGAGAGCTTAGGCGCCTTATATTTCTTTTTGAAAAGTAACTTAAAAATTGCGCGGCTTTTTTTTTAAATAGTTTTTTTAAGCCAAGACAATTAATATTTTTATTATTGATTTTGTATTTTTATACATTTTTGTTTTTTTATCTCATGTAAAATTCAAAAAGGATAGCCATACAATTAGAGATATTAGAGAAATTAGACGATGTCTTCCAGCAGTTAAATAAGCCATTAAAAGGTAACACCAGTCTAAAATTTCGGAAAAATCTATTTTTTGTAACTTAAACAACGACTTTAGGTTTATACAAATAATATGCAATGGTTCCTTTGACAATGGTTAAAATTACAGAAAAGTTTAAAATATCTGATATCTTTGTTGCAGCGACTCGATAAGCCTAGTTCATTTTTCAATTCAATTTTTTTTGTTTAAGTCAACCATTTTTACCAGAAAACGAAAGCTCCCTATGTAATTCGATTTAATTTTTCATACTTCCGTAAATCACTATTCAATTTAGGCCTCCAATCCAGCCGCACGAGTGGTATTACCCCTTAAAGTTATTTCATAGACAGAGTGATAGGCATTAAACAGATACAAGTAAGCAGTTAGATTAATGGTAGGTTTAGCGGTAAACATACAATGTGAAATCACTTCTAAGCCTGGGCTCAACAGCATAGGCTCCTTATAAACGAGCAAAAAACGCGACCAAAATTGAGTTTGCAACTAGACTTAGACTAGTTCGTTTCATGTTTACATTTAATGTTGCAGTTTTCCGTACCGAAAAGCTTTTTATATTTATGCTTATTCAACGGCAATTTCGGGGCAATAACACAAATTTGTAAACTCCCATGATTATATTTTATATATCTTTAATGTTTTAAACAAGTTGTATCTACTGTTAACTGGGCATTTTTTCTACTGGCGATTAAAGGTAGAACTTAAAATGTTTAAACATAAAATTAGTGTATATTTGATCTGAGTAGCTGAATTGATGGCCAATACTAAATTAACAAAAAAAAACTACATGTGCTGAACACAGATATTTAGACAGCCAGTTGAGAAAATAGTATGAAAGTTGAAGTTTGTAACTTACTAACTTTTCAATCACATCGAATACCGAAAAAGCCTTTTAGCCACATATTCTTCATAAGTTGTAGTTACGATCTATGATACAAAAATGGTAGATTTTTGTACCTCAATGCAGGGTTAACCCCTTAAATATTTTTAAAACCCACCACGGTTTGAGTCCACGCTCAAATTCCTTTAGATTCGGTATTGTTCAGTAAATTTATCGCCCCATGGTGAACTATAGCGAGAGAGAGAGAGACAGAGTGAGCAACGAAATGTTATGTTCATGTTGAATCCAGTCGTTGCATTTGCGAATCTTAAAAGCGGTTTCGGTACGCTCTCTCAGCGCGCGCCTCTCAGATTTCTATTAGTTTTTAACATTTTCTGTTAAGAAAGCGGTTTTAGTCCGCTCGGTCCTCTCGCCTCTCTCTCAACAACGTTTTCCTAACAGAAATGTTGATAAATTTGATGATGTTTTTTAACAGTTATAATATCTGTTAGTTTTTAACATTTTCTGTAAACTGATTCGTTTGCGGTCGTCGTCGCCTTTTCGAAACTCAACAAAAGCAGATTGCGCCCCCAAAGGCGGTTTCAATTCGTTTCAAAATTCAAACGCGACGGTTCACTCGAGACTCAACACGCTGAAAACTATGAGTTGGCGCTGCGCGGAGAATTCAAAATATCAAATCGTACAATTTCGCAAAGTTTTTTAAATCAAAACGCGTCGTCTTTGCAGTTCGTGCAGCAACTGCAATCAAAGTTAATTGGAAAAGTAACGGAAATCTGGCCGTAGTACTTAACTCCGGTGCCTGCCTGTGTGCGTTTTTCTGCATTTAATTAATCAATTTAAATTCCCGCACACATGTGTGTGCGTGCGTGTGTGTCCGTCTGATTGTGCAAGTGTGCGAACGCAAATGCCGCCGCCAAAAATAATTTGATCATTTCGAGAAAATCTCTCAAATCGGCTGTAACAACAACAAAAACCAACGAAAAATCGTTTTTCTAGCAGTTTATCCGAAAGGCTAGAAATTTCGACATATAGTTTATTTTTGCTCCACAAGGGCAGGTGTACTACGGGGCGCTTGTAGAATTTTTACCGAAAATGATAAACGGAAGTGGGGGTAAAAGCTGTTATTAGCTTTTCCACCACGATAAAGTGTAGACTTTGGTCCGAAAACTAAAATACGGAACTAGAAATGCAGCGCTATCGAAATCAAAAATCCTCCTGCTGAGACTTAGTTATTCTAAATACAACTACAAATCTATAAATGGAAATGCTGTCATTTGTGTAGACTTTTATGGAATATTGAAAACTGAAAGCAAAAAGATATATTTTTTTGTTTTGACATCATTTTTTCCGAAAACTGGAATTGTCTGAATTTTTTTGAAATGAAAACTGAAAACTTAAATCAAATCCCGCGTTGTTATTTGAAGCAAAAAACGAAATAGAAACAGAAAAATAAAATTACTGTGTTTAGTGTAGAGCCCTAAAACTGAAACTACTTCTCTTTATGTAAACTTAAAACTTAATTTTAAAGCACAAAAAAATCCGAATCCGAATCGACAACAGAAAATCAAATTTCTATGTTTTTTTAAAACAAAAGTAAAAATACCAGTAGACTACAAATCAAATCTCGCTGTGCTTAGTGTAGAGTTTTGGAAAAAGAAAAAACCGAATGGCTGGGTATAGTGTAGAATTTGGAAACTGAAAAGCAGAAAAACCAAAGTCCGAACGAACGTCGCGTTTGTTTTTCCCCTGCTAATGAGCTTGGTGGCAAGTTATATATTCTGATTCGGTTTCTTGTTGGCCTACTAAAGCAAACTGGCTCACACGAACACTCGAACTCACACACACTCACGCACCATGTCTCAGGCGGCGAAAGGTTTCTCAACCGATCTGTTTCTCATGTCTCTTTCTGGCCCATTCTGGTTTTTTAGGTCTCCACCGTCGACTCGTGGACAAAACGAAAGCACCGTCATCGTTAGAGAGAGAGAGAAAACGTATCAAAAGATCAAAAAAACAAATAATCAAACAAACAAAAACTATTTTATTTCGTGGGTGTTACGTGTGAAAAACTGGCGCCAAAAAACCACTATAAAAGGGTTAATTAAAATTTATAAATAAGCGCCAAAAAAACTAAAACAGAATGAGTGCCAACCGTAAACGACGCAGCAGTTTTTACTGCGCGACAGCACAAGCAGCAGTACCAGTATCAGTACCAGCACAGGAGAAAGAAAAACTAGGTGCAACAGCTGCAATTTCAATTCCGCCATCCAAAGAGCAACTTTCTCTGCCGGCTGATGAGGATTTAGTGGAAATGCCTCGTATTTGCCGCTGCTGTTGCAAACGGGATTTGGAATTACTCGGCTTATTTGAGGCCAGCCAACCGACATTGGCCAACACATCAGAAGCAGAAGTGGGAGCAGCAGCAGGAGCAGGAGCAACAATATCAGCGTCAAACAAATCATCAGTAACAACGGCTAAAACATGTGCGACAGAAACTCCAGAGACACCACTGTCTGCAAATCCAGTAAATCCCGGGGATATGGCTACATCATCTTCAGCAGCAACATCGTCCGCATTTCTGACCACACCCTCTCCCATGAGGCGTCGCACCACAGTTGCCACCACATCCACATTCACATCCACATCCACATCGACATCTACTTCAACTACTACTACTCCCCGTGGGCGAAGCAGCGATAATGCCGTCGACTACACCCTTAGCGGGGCCCACAGCAGCATGGACATTGTCCTCGAGGAGATGACCATTTGGATGCTCAATGTAAGTAGCACACTTTCTCACTATTCACTGTCCACTGTAAACTACGTATATCGCCCACCCACCCAATCAAGTTCTCTTCATAGCATATCGGAAAGTTTCTATGGGTTGTGTTTAATTTTTAATGTGATTTATTCAGCTACACGCATGCAGACACTTGGAAAAAAAGCATTCGAGTACAGTGCAGGCTCCAAATAGCAAAAATAGCAAAAATAGCAAAATGAGCATTGGGTGTTCACTACTGCAACCATTGAGTTCAACTAATCAAGTGTTCACCCTTTTGAGCCGGCACTGTATGGCATACCACTAGTTCCATGGCTAGGAAATGAATATTTCCTACTATTAATAGGAAATGTCACTGAAATCTCAAAATACTTTGACATCGGTCGGTTGGGCAATGTGTCCAAAAGTCTGCGTATATTTCCGCCCAAAGCGGTCTGATTTTAACATTTGAAAGAGTTTGATATTGTGAAAAAAATTGCATATTTGAATTTACTTTTGAATAAATTTATTATTTTTTTTTTATTTTTACATGCCACAATCCAGAATAACTATATTTTAGCCAAACTTATTTTGCTATTGACTGTGGAAAAACACATTTGATTTATTTTTACCAAGCGAGATAAAGTTATTTGACGAAATAACGTGTTAATATAATAACTATAATCAAAACTAAGAGGTCAATTAATATGTATATCTTATAATAACCACGTGGAAAGTTTAAATGACAATTTGTTAAGACAAAACACGTTACACTATTTAGTATTAATTAAATTAATTGGACTCCCTTGTGTGCTGGGCTACAAACCTGCTTTTTTTGCGTGTAAATTCCCCAGACATTCTCGAGTCCCTCATCTGACTCACTATCCGTAGTACGGGAAGAACTTAGTTGTGTTCTGACGTGCCTTTGTTCCCGCCTCTATCTCCTATCTCCTGGTCCCTCATATGTAATTTTCCCTAATGCAGGCAAATAAATTAAATTGTCTGGCCGTTTGCAAGAACCAGGAGTAAATAAATAAGGCTTTATTTATAATGCCGCAGAAAGGTTTCATCCGTTTCACATGCGATTTGCTACTAGACGGGCGATATGGTAATATTAATTTTGGGGCAGAGGAGACAGTGCTAGATGTAGATGAATGTGTATCAAGAGCTCTTAGATAATCCATTATCTTATCGGCAACACGTTTCGGTATTTCGTTTTATTTATTTATTCTAATACTACTTGATTGCCGGATTTTATGACGCTGCACTAAGATAGCTGCGTTCCAATTTTTTATTTCGGCTACTCATCGGGCTGGGGCTGTTTTTTTATTTTTTTTTTAAATATCTAAATGGATCGTGGCTCTTTGCACTGACCTTTTCGTTTAACGATTGCTTGTCAAATTTATGACTGAAAGGAAATGAGATTCATAATCGGTGGGCATACCTAAAAAGGTCATCGTGACATGTATGAAAAGAAAGTGTGGAACTGTGCGTTGCATTCCGCATGTCACGTATAAACATTACGTTCCTTATTCATTCATTAGCTCCTCGATTTCCTGAAGAGAAAGTTGTAAAAAAAAATAGCGACGCATTCTCAGTTTTGTTTTTTGTTTTTTGTTTTGTTTTTTTCTTATTGTGTGCCACCTTCTTATCGTGGGTAAAACAGGGTATTTGTTTTCTTTTTTATCACGCATAAATCAGTGTAATTGTTTTCTTTTCTTATCAGACCAGGCCTTATCAAAAACCAAACAATTTGTTTTGTTCTCAGAATCAGATTGCAAACACTACTTATTAGTTTCACAGATCGTACAAATGCAACTTAATGTACATACTTTCAACGGGTTTCTTGTGTCTGATAACACTAGTAGAAAATCAAAGATCTGAAATTTGAAGAGTATTTCAAGTGTGTACTAAAGCTGGTTCAAACTTCAAGCAAATATTTTTGCTACCTATTTGCTATTCTTAACTTTATGCCACATTGCGTGCCAATGCCAAGCTGTAAGCCAAGTTTGCATGTATGCCTGACTCTGAGGCCCCATAAACATTCAACGAATCCGGGTGGAGCCAGCCCTTTGTTTTGGGCCACCAAGAGTGAGAGGGTTCTTGCTGCCGGACCGGCTAAAATCTTGGCTTCGTGGCGGCCTTCTAATTGCACAGAGAGTGGTCAACGTCAACTTTACTTTCCGGCCAATTATACGGCACCCGCTATTTCTCTTTTGGCCCATTGAGAAACGACCGTCAGCGCACCCAAGTCATCAGCACACCGCGGCACCTCTGACTTCCATTTCCACTTCCAACTCCAACTCCACCTCCACCTCCACTGCCAGTGCCACTGTGGCTCTGAGGTGGCTCCCCGACTCATTACCAATAAAAGTCGCATGGGAAACAGGTTTAATTTTTTCGAGAGCCCGGTCCGCGCCTTGGGGTTCAAGAGGAGTGTTGGTGGTGTGGTGGTGCCATTCGTTGAGCTGCTTTAGTTGCCGCCGGTGGTGACCGTTGATTCTCAAGGTGTTGCATGAAAAACGCTCTGACCTTAGGAGACTCCGTATCGAGCTAAAAACTGAAAATGAAACTGAAACTGAAACTGGCAATCGGATTCAAACTCGAACGTAAACTCGAGCTCACTCACTGCTTGGCTGTTGATTATACAATTTAACTGCCAATCATATGCATTAACTCACTCAGGCGATGCTGTGTTATTGTTCCTCAAAACGAAAACGCAATGATAAATGAGTTAAGCTGTAAGCTGTCCAGTTTTCGGCTAGATTTTAAATTCACTTCTAGAAATTGAAATGCGTATTCAAGGGGCGTTGTCCTGAATTAATGTTGATGGAACTGCGAGAATGCCACGTAATTAGGTTATACAAAAAGCCGCTAAACAAAACAAAAACAAAAATAAAAACAAGAGAGGTGTGTAAATTACTTAACGATATGGAACGTTGGCACGCCACAAAGGCGGATTTATGATCTTGCAGTTAAATTGTTATCTTGATTTGCTTTTAATTGAGCAGCAGCCTCACAAAAGAAGTTGTTCTTGAGTGTAAATCGAGCTGTATGATAATTTGCGAGACCGCTTCCGGGATTCCAATGGCTGCGAATTGAAAGACAAAATAAAACTTTCGTTTTTAGCATGGCTAACTTTCTTTTGCAACACAACACACACGCCTCGCCAAAGTTCACTCTCGTTCGTTAGCCGGCGTATTCATTGCATTTACTTTTGCGCAAAGGCCTCTCAATCATCAGTGGAGTCATGCCCCGAGCCAACGATTAAGCCACCAGTCGGATTAATTGCTGGACAAATCTCTCATTAGGCCGCCAGGCAATTACGCAGACTTTACGACACTCAAATAGCACATGCTGTGGTGGAACTGCTATATAAATGTATACATATATTAAAATAAAGTGCAATCCATCAAAATCAGTGTAGATAATATAGACACTGGCAATTAGATTGGAATATCGTTGCACTTTGATGATCATATAACTCAAACACGCTTTTATCGATATGGTTAACCTTATCATTATTAAGTGATGAACAGTATCATTTTTGCCCGATTGCCGTGGGTATTTTGAAGCACTTCGATTGACGTTGATGATGATTACACGCGTATCATCCGACGGCAAATAAATCGGTAGTACTAATTTATGTGCATTTGCCGGCAACAATTCCCCGAAATCAGAAATCCGAAATCAGAGAAGGCCCCACAGCGTGGTGGTGTAAATGTATTTATGTATATTTCGACGTGATCCTCGCCGGCAGCACTACGAAATGTGATCTCGAAGATAAATGTGATGAGAGCAGCAGCAGACAAAAAACATTTAAATTACATTACCGGGCCTGTAAACATTTTTTTTTTTTGTGCCCTCGGGGAAAGTTTCTGGTTGGATTAAAAACTAGAACATTTGTTGTCCGTCTCTCTTTTGTTTTTTTTTTTATTTTTTTTACCCCCCTTTCGACCAAAAAAAAAAAAATATGTGTCAAGAGAGAATTTTCCGTATCGTGGTTCAAGTTTAACATTGTGGGGTATGCCGCGATTAAATCAGTGAATTCGGCGGACACCAGGGCACTACCTTATCTACTTTTCTGAACACTTTGTTGACTTGACAACCATACATATACACATATACATATGTACATAAGTTTCCCATGAATGTGTGACGAAAAATAGAGGAAAACACATACGAAATTGCAAACCAGGTTTGGGGCTCTGGGTGTTTGTTGATATAGTTTTATGGCCAGCCAATTATAAACGATATTTATGTCTGTTGGCTTTGGCTTGCTGCAGCTCCAGTTTGCAAGCTACATACATACATAGTATTTGGCAACATTGTATTTGTTGCATTTTAGTCGGAGTTGTTTCCCATGCAATCAGTTACCACCTTATAAAATATGAATAAAAAGCGGCTACCGCATTTAAATTGGAGCTCGTAACATGTCGCATAAATTAAGAAGCCATCAAAGTAAATAAGACCAGCAAAACTTTGCGATCCGATCCGATCGAGACGAGACGAAATCAAAACAATATTCCGTTGCGTCATGTTCATGTGCCTGACCTCTTTTCATGAACAACGACTACGACGTCGACTATTTTAAATGAACGATAGACCTCCAGATTGCGAGCTAGTCAATTAAAGCCATAACGAAGCGCTCTAATCGCCGGCTAGTTCGTTTTAAAAATTCTATATCTAAGGTTATTTACTCTTCTATAAATTGTAATCAAATGCTAGATCCTACTTTAAATATGGTGATTAACGTCATTTTAAATAAATACTTATCAATAGAATTTACATCAATGATATCCGTTTTCAAGAAAATGTTTTCAATCCGAAAGGTCGATTGTAGTAATTACGGATTTATTATTTCTCCCTGAGCCTGCTACCTGCTTATTAAGTTTCAATTATAATACCTAAATTACTTATCTCAAAACGGAGATACCGAATTCGAAACGATCACGGTCGACCTATTTGATTGTTGCCGTGCTTTTAGGCTTATCACAACCGTATTTTCCAAACAAATCGCT